GAAGAGGAGCATTTTAGAAATGGCTTAAGTGAACAATTAGAATAATTTGAACACGCTGAATGATTCAAAAGGAGAATTGCCTATTATAATGTCAGTTCTTCCAAAGGGAATCGAATATCTCCTAATTTATTGAACTAAATTCAGCTTGAGTTTGTGTTTTTACCTACAGTATGTATTATAAATAAAAAAGGCTCCATATCTTCACACCTGAGTACTTTTTTTTTTCAAATATAATCTCCTCCTTTGTGAAACCATCTCCTAATTATGTTCATGAATAGTAGGTAGACACCTTGTCTACTTCGGCTCAAAATGTATAATGAGGGACATTTATATTCATTTTCAACTCAAAACCTGAAAAAATATACCTTCTAAATAAGAAAAGATGATAAAATCGAAATATTCAATCGATCATAAACTAAAAATGGCTAATTTTGTTTATATGGCATAACTAAAAAAAAGTGCTATTGTTTTGAAATATGTGATGGTGGCAGTACTTGGGAAATTTGGTATTTAGGTGCTCGTTATTAAAAGTCTGAGATTCACTGCATCTTTAAATCAATTACCCCACTTTAATGACCCTCCTGCACCCTCACAGGATGCAAACCCACATTGTTTTATTGTGGGTTTGGTTTTTTGAGAGTAATGTCTTAGTGTGAAGAAAAGTGTGCACAATGTTTTGCAAATGGACCAAAAAGTTAAGTTATGGTTTTATCCTTCCACATGTTTGCAGTGGAGCATTTAATGGCTGCTTCATGACTGGAAGTTTCTATTTGACAGCTATTTGGCTGCCAAATAGAAAGCCAAATAGATTTCTATTTTCCAATAAAGGCATGAAACATTAAATGGCTAATAGTTCAATTAAAACTTTAGTTACTTTATTAATATTTAATACCTGGGCATTTTGATCTAATTCAATCTGTATTTGAGTATGAAATGTTTGTGTGCTTCAGATTCAGAGCTACCACGTTTGCACACTTAATTTTCATGCTCAAACGTAACATCTTTTTTATTTTACACTGACTAGATTCAATAAGACAGCCCAGAGGAACATGCATGAGCATGCTTCTGTTCGATTATTAAAGACAGCTGATATCTGTTAGACACAGTAAATTTGAGGAACTTGGACCATGGCAAAGAGCCTTATTTCTATACCCAATGTTACCAAAGAACAAGGCTCTAAAACTATGGCATAAAACAAATTCTGAGCCTGCATCAGTTTAATCTGTTAGAGAATTGAGAAGTGAGAAAGTTATAATTTAACAGGCACAAGTACAGCTAATGAGCATTCCCTCTTACCATTAGAGAAAACCCATTTTATTTACCTTTAATAGACATCAGGAATATGTGGATGATTAGGGAGTGTAGGGAGATTGTTGCTTTAGTCTGTGGTGGTAACAAAAAATTCATCTGAAAGGCTAAACTTTGATTTAACTGCTCCGTCTGTACCCAAACTAACTTATAACATTCATAAAATTTAGATTTTGACTAAGATGCAAGCAGCTGTAATCCATTCCATCATCCATTAGAATAAAGATTTGCTCATTGCCAGAATTTCAACGTCGTCTGTTGCTTTATACATCGTGTCCAGCCAAAGGTTAATTTGCAGACCTGATCATGGCTTAAACGTCTATAAAAAACTAAAATCAAACAATCATAAAATAAACTGATGTATATTAGTGAGTTTATGGAGAGCTCATAAGGCTTTGTTGCATATGCATGACTTATGCATGAAGCTCCAGGCAGAAAGGCGCTCCACCCTCTCTAAATGTAGACATATACTGTATAATGTGTGAGACTTTAACTATTCATGTCAGCATTGTTAATTATTTAACTGAGGCACTTCGGACAGGTCCAGTCAAACAGGAACTGTCAGTTCACATTAGATGGCTTTGAGCTGAATGTGACCTTAACAATCTCAGATGATTCTGACCTGCGAAACTGATGTTTAAGCTAATTTTAATTAAAAAAAATACAATATCATCAAGCCTCTTTTAGTGTGTAGGTTGAGAAACATTTCAATAGGAAAACTGAAAAAGAACCACAACCAGAACAAATATGGTCTGGGTGGTATAATCAATTTACTGAAAAAAACAAACAAAAAAAACAAACAAAAAAAACACAGGGAGGACCCACAGTCATGAACACCTATGGATTTCCAAGAGGAGGGATACAGACAGATGGAAAAATGAAGAATGGATGGATGGAAACATGGCTGGACCAAGACTGAAACAAGGATGGAAAAATGGTTGGATGAACAGTCAAATGTAATGTGTGTTTATTAACTAGCAGTTGAGATCCTAATGTTGTACGTCTGTAGTTAAGCTATATGATTGACCATGTAGTTAAATTCCTGCTTTATTAATCAGAATTATGATTTTATCAGATTTATAAGAGGTGCTCTGACAAGCTGTGTTTTCTTTGGATTTTATGATTCTTTTATCTTCAGACTTTTGTCAGTTTTTATCACATGGACTTTCTATAGCTTCCCTAACACCTGGTTTTAGCTCCTGGAGCATGTAGTGACAGGTTTTCGTGAAACTCTTTCTAGATCTGTGAACTGATCCTTTGTTTTACATTATTGTGGCTTTCTTCATCTCTGGTTAGCCTGATAAAAATCAGGTGTCTTCACCACATGAAGATCATGACAGGTTCTTGTGTCAGAGTTGTGTGACGTCTGAAAACAAACCGATCTATCCAGGTTCACTCAGCATCTCTTGAATCAGTTTTAACAAAGACTGTGTTGCTTACAGCTCTCGATCTCCAAGGTGCAGTTCTGTTCATCCAGCGGGTATCTGCGAAGGTCCATCATGCAGGCGGCTGTCGTGGTGATCCTTGGTGAAAACAACAACAACAACAAAAAGAAATGTTCATTTGATTTCTAGAAGTTTAAGGGTAGAGCCTAACTCACAGAACCGACCTTCTAAACCTCGAATTACACAAATCCTTTTAAACCTTGAGTGGAGCGAAACTATCCGTCTCGTTCCCATAATTGCCTTTGCTGTGCTGAATTGACGTCTGCAGCTCTTCTCCCTTTGTAAAGCTTTGTGTTTTAATCTCAATTATAGCAGGCAGTAATTAGGAGTTAACAATAAAACCGGATGAAACTCTCAGTGAAGTTTTACAGCCGAAGCAACAACCATCACAAACTGTTCTCCGTACGGATGGAGCCACACCTTATTTACAGCCTCATAATCTGTGCGTACGACAGAAAACACGATTAAAGGTCATCCCAGATATCCACTGTAGCATGTAGGTAGATTATAATTAATGTGCTGAAATGGAAGGATAAATTACAGGCATTTTTCTGGGTGACCTGCACTTATACTCATTCAGACAGAAAATCTGGCGGCGTAGGGAATACGTGGAGCAAACAAACGATCCCTGCACGCTTCATAGACTTTAATTAGACATACGTAAAGCTGCATTATACCCAGTGAAGCTTATTAAAAAGTATTTATTGTCAAATGAAATACATTCTGTCCAAAATAAAGCATTCCTATTAATTTTTTTTATGGTTATTTACTGACATGCACATTTGGGAATCCTCAATGTACAATTAGGGCAGCAGATATGAAGCTATTTAGACAACATTTTTGAGCCAACCCCACCCCAAGATGAGGAAAAAAAATAAATACACCACTATATGAATGGAATAATCATTTAAATGTTTGGTTTCGTTTTTTTTCTTTGTTGTGGAGAAAATGAACTTCTTTTCACTTTGTCCTGATTATCTTTTCATAGTAAAAATGCAATAAAGTAGCAACTGTACTTTTACAAAACAATAATGTGAGTAAGCACTTTGGTTCAAAGCAGTTGTGGAAATGAACTTTTTCCACTTTGGTCAACATTTGGTGGCGGCTGAACAGGTTTGTCTCGTCAGAGATCCTCCATGCTGCACCTCATCTTGTCACCTGTAGATTTGTTCAATGTGTAAAATGGAATGGGTAATCCTACAGGGTTCATGGGTCAGTATATCATATATTTAATACCTCCATTCAGCTCTGGTTCTGCCCCCGTCTCTTCTTCCGATCAGTCACATCTACAAACATTTGAAAAAGAAGCAACCAGGAGGTTCCCATGTATGACCTGACTGCTGAATTTAGGTCTTTGTTCTGTCATTATCTGTATCTCATATTGGGAAGTGTTGTCTCATTCTTGCTGCTTAATGCTCAACTAACTGTGATCCAATCAAGTGCACTCTGAAGGTCAAGACTTCAAAACACCAACAGAACCACAATGTTTACAAAGATAAAAGGGGAACTGCAACAAATTCTCCAAGATCCCATTGTTTCCTCTTAATTTGGAGAAAAAGCTATTCTGTCCTGGCATAACATGAACTCTAAAACATTCTTGGGCTCTAGTTTGTGCACCCAGCTGTGTGACTCTAAGGGATTCACAACTATGAAAACAGAACTGCAGCCTTCTCCTTACAAGTCAGTGAATGGACACTTTCCATTTGTACTGTCTGTCCATGCCTCTCCGCCAGCTTTAAGACGCGTCCAAAGCTTCCTAAAGTGTTCAGCGTGTTCAAGAAAAAGATGAACAGCCAGGAATATTCAGAAGGTAAGGGATAAATATTTATGTTTTTATGGGCTTTTAGCGTCCATGACAGTGTAAGAGCTGGGAAAACGTGAAGACAGCTGAACTTTTACTGTCAGAGAAAGGAGGTATTAAAGGATTTTTTCATTTTCACAAGTCACCCTGGAATCCCTGGATATGCTATTTTCAGCCTCCTTTCAGAAAATATTTTCTGAAGCACAAAGCCTTAGGAAAACGTCCAAAGACAGAAACCATAATAAAATTGCAAATAAACACAAATAAATGACACAAATAAATACATTTTCGTCTACCAGCAAGTGGTGCCAGTCTGATATGGGGTCCTGCATGTTATCCACTCATTTATCAATGTCACAGTTTCAACTTGAGTATTTAGGTCCTAACAAAATATAATGTTAGCAAGCTAAAAATTTAGTTCTTAGCCAGCCAAATATTTGATTTACAAACTAAATTGCTAGTTTATAGCTAAATGCATGCACGTTTGCTTGCTAATGTGCTGAAGTGGACAATCAAAAATAAAAGCTGTGTCTTGAAAACTTCTTCATTAACTCCTGCTGGACACATCCTCCTCCTGAGCCATGCACCCTGTATTTATCATTAACAATTCACTATTATGCACAGGTTTCTGTTTTTCTATCTTATAAAAGAACAAATAAAATGCATGTTTGCGCTTGTTAAATGACAAAACAAGTGCAGTGGTTGTAAAGTAATGTGTATTTATTTAATAACCTCTGACTTTTTACTGTGATTTCCCCACACGTGGCCTCGTGATCACTATGACTCGTTAAACAGAAGCTTTTCAGACTCTGCATCGGCTCAGGCCCAGCAGCGCAGACTAAACTTAGCCTCTGTGTCATCTTTTCTTTCCCTTGCCGAGAAGAGCTTTCTCTTAGCTGTGACCATACAAAAGATTTGCCGCTGACGATGATGAGGAGATAAACAGGTCTTTGATGTTGTCTTCATTATTCCAAGGTGCTGAATTTCCAATAATTGGGATGTGAGAGTGCCAATCAAAGCTGAGGTCATTTTGGGAAACCTAAATATAGCCCTTGTCTCAGCAGCGAGCACACTGGATGAATAATTGTCGGAGCCTTTGGGGGATAATGATTCTGCAGCTGAGCAGTGTGAAAGATATGATCATCAGTCCTTCAGATTCTGGGGCCAAAGTAGAGAAGGAAGGAAAAATATACTCCCAGCATTGCAGGGAAAACCTCCTGGACCAAGACCTTTGAGTCATCCATTCATTGCATTCAATACATTTGTTAAACCTTTACTTGAATCTCCTGTGAGTATTTTGCATGTGCTTAAAGTTTAAAAAGAAATATGATAAACCCCAACCACGGGGTCAGGGGTTGCACTTTAACACCCATGATCTAGAGCATGGCAATTGAGTGCTTACAAAGATTACAAATTGGTTTCATGGTTTTCATCCAAACAATTAGAACAGTGGAAATATTCTGTAATAATTACATTTTATATTGTTCTGGAAACACACATATTATTTAAGATGGAAATTCTGGTCCAGGGTTGGGGTGAAAAGGTCAAAAAGAGTGAGGGAAATGAAAACTACGAGCACTGGAGATTAAACGGAGGAAGGAAACTAGCTTAGAGGGAAGTAAAGTCTTGTCTATCTGAATACACTGAGAATTGCTTCACTTTAGGAAGGGACAGAGTGCTGAAAACAGCCCGCAAGGCCCATGTTCATTCAGCCTCAAAAGAAGAGTTGTTTCTGGGTAAATCCAGCCTCCCTGTCCTTTTCATCGGCCTGCTTCAGGTCTGACTTAATGCTTTCTGCTTTCCTCTCTCATTGTATCCCTGTTTCTGTCTTTGAAAAGCTGCTTCTATGTGGACCTTAAAAAACCCTGATCTGAGCAGACAGCTCCTCCAGACACAAAAATAACACCAGCGTCTCAGGCTAAATGCTCCCAAAAACCATAAAAGCCCACAAATTTCAAGTTTGCTAAAATGTACAAAAAAAAAGTGTAATAGTAACAACGTGTTTGTGAAGGATAATGACACCTAAGAAGCATGAAGGCATTTGGACCAAATAAACCGAACAAACTAATCAACTAATTCAATGAAATTTGTTAATGTATTAGAGCGGATTGCACAGAATCTGACTTGTTGACGGCATACCTGGAGAAAAACCACAGCCTCTGGTTCTCTTATGTATTTTCCAGTAACATAGTGTCATTTATTTAGCACAATAATGCAACTGTTTGTCGAGTGTTGCCAACAGCGCAAGGTTGCTTGACACCGTCAGCAAGTGTGACGGTGTCACGATTTGTGCACACTTGCACAAATCGTGACTTTTAAATGAATAGGGCAGCAACAATATACATCACAGCTGCAGGAAGTTCAAGGATGTCCAGTTGAAACCTGCTATTTTCTCTCGTGAATCTTAATCCCAATTGTTTGGTTCATCTAGAGCAGAGAAGGCGAATGCTGCCACATGAGACCGACTGGTAAGAAAACTGATGAAAATACTAAGCAAGAGCAACTTCTACCAACAATCTGGTCCAATTTGTTGGACCCCTTGTAATTTCATTTTCCACCATGATGGAACCGTACAGACTTGAAAATAAAGAGATTAAAGTAACAAAACAATTTGATGGGATTTGGATCCCCCCAAATCATTATCCTTGACTAAAAGCCCACTAATCATTAGTCTGGTGTCTGTGATTTTGTCAACTGCACGGCATGTTTCGAATTCCATGTTTATTATAGCTTGTTTTATTGTATTTTGGTGTCACTGTAAATCACATCTGTACCACAGTGTGTTCATAATCTTCTCTGCCAGCTGCTAGGACATATACAGACGGAGGCCAGAGCCCCCTTCACACAACACTTCAAGGAGGGTTAAGCTGTCTTTTGGACTCCATGCGTTTTGTCAATGGACCGATACAGACGTCAAACCCACCTCTGTTGCATCCTAACTTGCTAAGCGAAGTTCTCACTGATGTGCAACCAGTCACTAGAACGTTTTAAAACTGTAACTAAAACTCAGAACTCATTAGATGAAACAATAAAAAGGCGAGATATTCAGGTTTAATTTTAAGCGTTTCCTCTGCCACTATAGGATGATGCATATTTTGTCTGAGTTAATGTTTTGAAAAATAAAAAAAAAGATAGGATGCAAAAACTAAGAATGCATATTTTATGAGTAGTGCTCACGGCGATGTAGCCCCACACCTCCTGTCGTCCAGCACTGCTGGCTTTACTATTTCTAAGCGAACAGCTATGTGGAATATCTTGTGATCTATAAATGCCCAGAGGGAGCTCAGAGGCAGCTCGTCTTCGAGGGGTTATCACAACAATATTTTGTGAAAGGGGCTTGTGTAGCCGAAGACGCTGTGCTTAGTGTGAATTAAACACTTTAAAACTTTAAAAACAAAGTTTAAAAAAGCAGGGAATGTTCAGGTTTTACCTGCACACAATTAAATAAAACCGTGTCGAAACATATGTTACGAGCTGAATTACGAAAGAGTCATCGCATTATGCTAAGGAGTCATCAATTAGCCTTGCACTGCAGCAAAATGCTCTCAGAGCAAACCCTGTAAGTAGGACCAAGATTCTAGATGATTGTAAAGACAAAAAAAACAAAAAACAAAAAAAAAAAACAAATCAAGTCGCGTCTGAGCTCTGCAGGTGAAGTTTTATTAGGATATTATAACATTCTTACCAAATGTAACCTGTGCTGGAGAGGCATACTACAGATGTTCCACAACAACTGTTAAAGCAACATATTTGTTGCTTTTGATAAACTGCAGCATCCTGAATCCCATTAGCAAAGGAAGAAAGTGTGTTACAAAAGAAAAGCAATGTGTCTTTCAAAACCTGGGATCACATTTATTAACTTTAATCAGGTATTAAACTGAGAGTCTGTATCTTCCAGTGCCCATTTGTAAAACAAAAACACAAAGGATCAGTATTGGGGCAAAAATTTAGATCAGGACAAACCAAATTGGCTGATTTCACAACACAACGAACCGTCGTGTCGAGACAAGACAAAGAAGCAGCTCAAATATCCAAACGTTGACATTTTGCACCTGTGATCAGAAAAATTTCCCTGATCTTATTCAACCATCTGACTAGTTCTCAAAAACCAAACTGACCACTGAGGAGCATCAATGAGGTTAGGAAGAAGCTTTGGAAACAGCCAATCTCAACAGAAATGTTATGAAATTGTAAGTACAAGTCTTTCAAATGAAATAACTGTTATGGATTTTTCTTTACTATACCAAAATGTATCTATGCTGACTATATATATAGTTCTGTATCTGTTTATTCACAGCAGAACAACATATGAGACTAAGGAAACTATTACTCACTGGGCAGCTGATGTCGTATGCCAGTGTTGCAGTTTGACTTGAACCATACTGAAAAACATATGTCTACGAGTGCATTCGCATCCTTTCCTTATTCTGTGTCCCGGGGAGCAGTGTACCAAAGGATTTCCAGTTAAATGAAGGGTTGCCATGAAAACCATGTTGGTTTTGTATCCTGCTCTGGTCAACAGTCAGAGCCCTGCTGCTCAGCCACCTGGCATCGCTTCACCAAATCCTCCATGTTATGGGTTAGGATTGGTGCATCGCTGACAGAAATATCCATGGTTTCAATCATTTTTCTTTAGAATCAAAATGAATGTTTTATTTTTGCTCTGGAAGCTCTCTGATAACAGGCAAGTTTCATCTTGTGAGAAATGTTTAACGATGATATATTAACCACAACCATAAACACAACTTCTGTAACTGAGGAGGAAATTATGAAGTTAGATCTGAAAAAAGTGAACACAAAAATATGTACCCACAATGCTGATGGGTTTAACATTTACAAGTCAAACCTGACTCTCTATTTGAAGAATCTTTGTGCCTAAATAAAAGATTACTCAGCCTTTAAAGAACTAATTCTCACCATTTTTATTTCAAGTAAAGACTGATATTGTGTCTGAGTATTTTTTTTTTCATTAACTTTGCGTTATCTTTGGTCTAAGGGGTTACAACCCAAACACAAAAGCACAAAAAAAAAAAAAAATCCACTGATCTTCTGTTACAATTTGGCATTTTAAATGTCCCCGTCTTTTGCAGCAAAATCGTTTCAGCCTCACGGATTCTTAGTGGATTAATCATCTCTTTGAAGCTACACACTGGTAACACCAACACATTGATCCAAACTGAATTTGGGTTTTGCAACAATTGCAGCAATTAATTGGCTCAGTATTCCCCAGGAAAGATTTGCATGCTTTGAACAGAAGTCTTTTGGAAACACAAACATCCCGGAGGCAGCACTGTTCCTCATTAAAACCTGGTCCCTAAATCCCTTTTATATGTACAATCTACAGTTTTAAATCAACCTCTGTTAGAGCGAGAGACTTCAAGCTTGTTGAAATATGGAATATTTTATATTTTCCAACAAACCAATCTGGGATTTGTGTGAATGCATTTATGTCATTGGAAGAAAACCTTGTCTTTAGTACAAACATCCTCAACATTTCTCAAAATCTCATGTTTCCCAGATGATAGAAAACCTAAGAATTTAGAGCATACGTAATTGACAGCTTTAAACTTCAAATGTTTTATGTGCGTCATTACAAAAAGTAATATTTTTTTCTCTGTGCTATTCTTACGTACCTAATAGGTTCCTTTGTGGAAAGCTAGAAAAATATCTAAGATTCTTCTTAAGCAACTGGCAGAGAGGTGCAGATTGGTTATTGTCAAAAACATCAGTTTTAAATGATGCAGGATGTTTTACAGAGGACCAAGAGGAAAATGTGCCAAAAAGAAGGTGACAGTCTGAAAACCCTTTTAAGCTTTCAACTAAAAGGTCGGAATTAATTGTTACCTGAGGCCATAAAGCACAGTTCCGTCAGGGTGTAGCCGGATCATCCTGTTCTTGACCGTCACCCCATGGACAAAAGACTTCTTGTCATTAATAAAGTAGGTGTCAGGAACCCAGAGCTGGTCAGCCACCCGGTTGTCCAGGGTCAGGTTTAGGGGAATGCCTGTGTAGGACAGCCGCTTGTCTCTCCAAGACTGCTGGAAATACATGGTGATGGTGTAGTCCTGATGGGGCACAGAGACAGAAAGACTTTAGTTCCTTATTATCTGTTTGACATCCAACCAGCATGCAGCGGGGTTTTTTTTTTGTTTTGTTTTTGTTTTTTTTTTGTCTATTCCAGTGTTGAGAGTCTGGTTTGTATTCAAATAAGTTCAACTTATTTCTCAGAATATAGCAGTGTTGATAAAAAAAAAAAAAAAAAAAAACTGCTCTGTCAGGCAGCTAGCTTTTCCAGCTTGTGGGAAACTGTGTGTGCTTTGATCTCTGTTTTACTCTTGATTCTTATGCTTACTTTTAACTGAATAAAACTCAAAATGACACAGAAGTAATCTGTGAAAACTTTGCCAGGCATTTTTCAGCTCTTCTCTGAATATTTCTGACATCTCCAGATATATGTTTAAAATAATTAGCCTTATGCCAGATGAAAACATCATGGATTGATTTCCTCTTCTAGTCTGAACTGTGTCAAAGTTCACATGGAAGGATTAAGGTTTACTAACCCGAGTATTTAATTACTGGAACAGCTGTGTGGCTTATCGGTGCAACTAACACACAATGTGGGATCCAAACCATTCAGCTCCCACTGTTCCCCCCTCATAAAAAACACAACACGTGTTCCAGCAGCAGAACAGACTGCAGAAGCGAGTTATGTTGTGTGATGTCAGCTCTTATTAAGCAGTGGGGAAAGTCACTGGCCTCCATGCTCCAGTTCTGAGACTCAGACAGCTGGAACTCCCAGCTTCACCTGCTCCTCAGAGGCTCCCGTTCCTGCATCAGCCTCGACTCTGCAACCGCTGCACCAGTCATTTCTTGCTGTGACTCAGTCAGGAATGGTGGAATAATGCAATAGAAGAATTTATTTGCTTCGACGTGTATAAAAATAACTTGGGATGATTTCTTGTTTTTACAGCATCACTGAGCTTAGTCTACATCTAATGTCAGATGAACCCATTTTACGTAAGAGTTGTCAAAGAGCATTCAAAGACACAGACAATGCAGTTTTGTCCCGTGAGAGCCAAGACCTCTCAATATAAACATTTGCATGAAGTTGGAAATCTAGCATGGACTGGACCAGATTAAGCCATCTGATACATAAAACACTCAACGGTAGGACTTCTAGAAGTACCTTAAACGGGATGAATCGTCTGTCTTTTTTTTTTTTTTTTTTTTTTCTGCTGGGGGTTGGTTTTTGGGGCTCGGGGAACACGTGTTTCATTGCTGTCTTTTGCTTTCAGGGTTAACATCTTAACATCGGGAAGGCACTCCACTCATGTTCTCACTTTCCAGCCGGGTCCATTAAAATGCTGGTGGAGTCCTGTGCGCTTCCTCCTTTTATGTAATTCTAACCCTTCAAATTGCATTTTGTTGGGGCTTTGAATCCACGAGGTGTTCGAGCATTCGAATTAGCTGCTGACTGGAACAAATGAGGAAGCCAGGGAAGTGATGTCATGAAAAGAAGAGGCTAGAGTCATAAAATCTGATTTAACAACAGGTTAAGATTTTTAGACTTCTTTAAGGCATGTTTACGTAACAGGCAAATCTAATGTTTCTTGTCCGACCATATATTATCTTCTACTTATGTACAATGGAGGTAAGAGGAAAAGTCAGACATCCTTTCCATAAGAGAGCATCCTTCAGCTTCTCCTGAGGTATCCTAGGTATTTTGAGGAGAGAAAAGCTATCCCAAACCAACTTGGGCCTATGTGATTTAACAGAATGTTAAATCACATAGGCCCAATGATTTAACAGAATGTTAAATCATTCTGTTAAATGATTTAACATTTAACAGAATGTTAAATCACAAACTAACTAGCCACACTGCAATACTGTCTGGCTTTTTTTTTTTTTTTTTTGCATCTCCGCTGTCTATATTTTAGCTATAGCCTACCACAGGAATAAGTTGATTTCCACCATGTGCCAGAGTGCACCAGGATGCAGTTTTGACCCCCAAAGCTGCAGCATCCCTGAGCAGAAAAACTTCAGGCACCTACACAGGATGACGATGAGTCCGACACAGTGGTAGGTCTGCAGCGAGCAGGGCACCTGACACCTCACCCAGCAACGTAACCACATCCCCCAAAGCCAAGTCTGGAGCCCAGTCTCTCCAGTAGCACCTGTACATGCATCTGGTAGCAAGACTTTGCTCCTTGGTTGATTTAAAAATCAACAATCTTACTTTACTGGAAGCCTGCAACCCGACTCCGGATAAGCGGAAAAAGGTGTATGGCTGGATGGATGAATCTTACTTTAGAACATCAGTGGTCCATGTTAGATAAGGTCAAGTAATTTGATTTCCTGTGATAGTACAGGGATTCAGACCATCTAAAATGTTTCAACAAACAAGTCATCAAAATGTCTCAGCTGAGAGCTGGTAGCATTTAGAGGAAAAATCACCAGGTTTCGGTTGATCTAATCTGGGAGACGAGCAGCCGTTAAGATTCTTCTCACAGCTATTCAGCGTTTTCAGCATCCGTTGCACTTTGCCAAGATGCTTATGTGTGCATTTCTCAGGAAGCTCGAGGGAAACTAACTTTCTGAAAAAAATAAAATAAAAATGAAAAAATGCATGTGTGTGTTTGAGGGCCATCTGTACCTTCAGAGGTCACCGTTCAACACCAAGATGAGCGTGGCTATAGCAAAAAAAAAGGCAACCACTGCAACTGCTTTGGCCTGATAAATACTTTAACTAGAACACAGAGACTGTAGGGAGATTGCAGGCTGTAGAACAAACAGATTTGCAGATTTAAACTACTTGGTGCAAAGATAAAACAAAATTTTAATCAAAAGCAAGTCATATAGTAGGAAGTCAGCTGAATGTCCTTATTTTTCTCAGCAGCAGAAGCTTCAATCAAAAGAAAATCTGCAGCCAGTTTTGTGAAAGCAGGTGATAAAAACATGTCAAATACACATAGTGAAAAGGTAAAAAAAAATTAGAATAAATGACCAACATAGAAAACTGGAGTGTAGCAAATGACAATACAAAGGGAGAATGAGGTAAGCTGCTCTACTGAACTAGTGTGTAGTTTTTAAAGCTTTCTACTTTGTTGTCATTTTAAAATAAACTTTAATTGCAAGTTCAAATAAAAGATAAAACAACATTGTATTATTCATAAAGCGAAATAAAAAGGCTTGCAGTGTGAAATTCTGGACAAGTAGACAGGTGAGGATAATTGCTCTTGATCTGTCATTCTCTGCTTTTCAAAGGTCTTCCAGAGTTTTTAGAAAGGACTGAAAGTCAGGAGATGAACCAATGTTTTGTGGAAGAACTAAATTGGTTTTCCTATCATTTTTTTAGAAATAGAGATGTCCATGAGGTGCAAAAATGTGACGGTAACATTCTTTATCATTTATTTTTACAACCACCAAGGACCAGACATCTACAGAGAGGTTGCATTGCTGCTTTTAGTCTGGTTAGATCCATGCAAACTGATGTGGTATCAATCTAAAATGAAACTTTTAAAAGGTTTTATTTGTTTCATTTTTGTCACCATGTTTTTACTAACTTTGCTTTTGATTCAGATTTTAATTTGCGCGCACAAGAACACTTCCTGCAGTGAGAACCTTTCTGCACTTTTAAATCAATGTGTGTCAAATGCCATCTGACTCCTGCAGAGGTAGTCTTCAATACTGTCAAACTCCGCAAATATGAGCTTGTAAATCCTGAGCAGTCTCAGCACTGGGATCCAGTTTAAACCAACAGAATGTTACATCCAAACATCCAGCTTAATAGAAGCAATAAAACAAGAATTAGTCATTCAGCCAGCCACTGGAACTGTTAGTTGCAATAATAAACTAGAGATGACATTACGTCTCATGAGGCAGCAGCGGGAAAGTGCTGCCTCATAAAGCTGAGAACACAGAATATGAAGCAGAGCGACCTGCTTGTGTTATGCGAGGGTGGGTTTACAGTCTCTTTGGGGATGGAACTATTATTAGAAGCAGCTGTTCCCCTCAGCACCCACTTGTCCATCATCAAGGTGGCACCTTGGTGTTTCGGAGGCTGAGCGATAGCCTAAACGTGAACCAAATACTGAGTATTTACAGTCTAGAATCAGGGAGAGGAGGTGCTTCCTCACTGCAGTGAAACCACACTGACCTGCACCTCGTGGGCACCAAACCTAGATGGCCAAATGTTGAAGCCTTGCTTCCTTTTACACATTTATGTCTCTGTAACACTATTACACTTGTTCCATTTCTTTCATCCTGTGGGTCTGACTTACCCTTATATTTTCATCTTAATGCGGCAAAGGGTCTTGTGCTGCAATAACCTCACTGCAGTGTGCTGCGGTTTGACCTAATTCCTCCTTATCTATAACCATCTTTGGCGGAAACTGAGCAAACATCAGAAAAGGGATTACAAAGTGAGGTAGGAGGAAAGGCAACATCACTTTCTAATCAGAAAAATACTGAAGCCACAGCAGGACCAGGGCACATGATGTAAAACACATCCCGATCACAAGTCAGGCAAATACAACTATGAACTCCTGACATATCAAAGTAATAACCAGGGGTTTGCAGCTCTGGAACATAAACACTGGCTGGCAAAAAGCTGAATGTAAAAAGCTGGAAAATCTCTTTTTCAACATGTTATTGGAAGCCAAAAAACAACAGAAAGCATGGGTAGTTTGGTGTTTTGGTTCAACAGTTCACAATTCCTCACTGCCTCTGACAACCACTCCACAAATGATCCATCCTATTATAGATGATAAAACCGACTTCTAGAAGTCGGTTTTGTAGGTGCCAGCCTCTCAGTAGGTTTATCCCACCATTTCGTCCATTTATATTTTCTACATAAACACACCCACAAAATTCAGGTCAATCACACAATTGTTTTGCATGCAGAGGGGGGCAAAATGCTCATCGGAAAGGTTGTGAAAAGAAGGAGTGGATGACATGAAGCTCGGAACAAAATGACAATTTTCATCACACAACTGCAATAATGAGAACCGATTTTGACATGTCAGTCCGACCATGCTGGGCTCTTGAAACAACACAAGAAATAAAG